AAGATATTGAAAACTATATATTTATCTAGAATGATTTACTGAAATTTTTGTTCGAAATAAAATCTATATCAGAAGCCAATATATCAGAAAGTTACTGTTTGAGAAGCTATTGGTTAGGTTAGGTTTAAAAAATAATTTTTTTAGAAAAATAGTATATGAATTTCTAGTCGAATCTAAGCCAATTAATATTTACTTTCTTCGAGCAATACGAAGCTCTTACGCAAAAGGAACTCATATTCATTCTGAGTTATAACAAATTTACCTGCGTATGTTAAATTTTTTTCGAAATAAGGTAATTCCAGAAATTAATTAAATTTTTTCAGAAAAAAAAACCTACATACGATGATTTACAAAAAATGATATACTTATAAAATGTGTTTTAATAAAACAAACGATTTCATGTAGTTGCAACCCTGGTGACCAAGAAAGTAGAAAATGAAACGACGATAGGATATATGTAATCACAGCAGATAACACCAAAGAAAGAAAATAGTTATTCAAATTTCTTTGCTTGTCGATGTTTAATAAGATTCATAATTATCTATTGAATATTAAATATAAATATAAATATCTGTTATACACACTATTATCGTGATTCCTATTTATTTATTACACTTGTATCGTCAATAATTACTTGATTGAAAACTATTAAAATAATAGGAATCATAATAATGTGTCTATAATATATATTTAAATATTAATGAAAATAAAATACCTAACCAACAGTTATTTTTAGATTTAGCTATATTATTAGCCTATTAAACTATAATATAAATAGATGGTATTGGTTTTTATTAAAATTCGATTGGTTGTTAAAATATATATTTGAAAATTTCCCACTAGGTAGGTAAAATTTAATTTCCACTGGGAAATTTCCAAGAACACATTGTATATCGCTAGTAGGAAACCCCAAGGTTAATTAAAACAATTGTTTTATTTTATTAAAATGTAGAACAATATACAATTATACAATAGTTTTTAAAATGAGCAACTTGGTAGTTCACACTATTTTTTAATAAACATACTTTTTATTCATTCCGCGTATTTGTATTATATTTTAAAAAGTAAATTAACAGGCTAAAGAGCCAAACTTAATATTTAATTAAAAAATACCAATGTGTAGTATAATAAGGTATCTTGAGTAAAATTAAACAAAACCGTTTTTTAAGAAAATATTATAACAGATAGTTACTATTGCTTCTCAAATATTAAGTTCTTTAAAACTATTTAAATTTGTAAATGGTTTTATGCTATGGTTAGTATCCAATAATTGTTCCGAAACAGGAGATTTGTGTGCTTCCTGTTCAACTAAAATTGATTTGATTTTAAGGATAATTTTGCTAATACATTTAAAATTATGTCGCTCTACATAGGTGTATTCATTTTAGAAGTATAAAAATAAAAGTTAATGTTTGACACAAGCCAGTAATAATCCCTTTGAAAATATAGCAAAATTATAAAAATAATAACAACATCTTATAATGTTTTTATGAAATTAGTATATTAATACTATAATCCTTAATTTTTTGTTCAGAATAAATTTGATTTGATTTTAAGAAGAATTTGGTTAATATATTTAATTAGCTAATAAAACAGACGTGTGCAATTTTTATTGTGATTTGTAATACATTTTTTTAATATAGTTATTTTTTTAATATATCGCAGCCACGCTTGAAAAGTGACATAACTGGAAAAATGCCATTTTTAATAAAGTCATTTAAAAAAAGACAACATAATGTAAAATAATGTTATACCATAAGTGACGCGCGTCATCTATCGGTAAAAAATAATAATAAACTTGACGTTTTTACACAATAATGATATGATATTTATTTAAAATATGCTATAATCTCAAAAATAATGTTTTTTGAGATATGTTAATTTTCAAGCGGAGGTGCGATATGGTTATGTATAGGTTTTAGTATGAAACAATGAAAGTCCTTTAATATAGTGTAGTATGTGTCATTGAAATTCCTCATTTAAAAGTTAAATGTACAAATTCATTATGAGAAAAAAACATAATAAAGAATGATTTTGTACTTTATTTAGTTATTCTTTACAAGACACTCAAGTTGGCATTAAATATCTTCTGTTAAAACCGTATTTTTTTACAGAGTTTCATTGCCTCAAATATTATATTGTTTACATTATTCAAGGATTAAAGTTTAAGCTTAAGACGGGTAGAAAGATTATTATTACCTTTAAGCAATACTCAACGAAACGTGAAAATGATATATTTCCGTAAAATTATATAACTATATAATTTCATCAGCAACCAAAAACATGAATTTTCCATTTCAACAAGTAAGTTTTACTACAAAAAATAAATACATTTACATTACGTTTTTTTTTTTTTTTTAATAAGTTTTAGTACTTTCTGTAGTTTATCTTTACAAGACGCTAAAGTAGGCATCTGATATTAATTAAAAATTATATTTTTCGACAGTGCTTTATAGCTTCAAATATGATATCGTCAACATTATAAATGTATTAAAATTTAGTCTTAAAACGGGTTAAAAGATTATTATTACCTATAAGCTATACTCAAGAAAGCTCTACCTATTTTCAAAATTTTTAAATCATAACATGCCTTATGTCACGTTTTTAAATACCTAATATTAAAAAAAAATTGTTGTATTATATTTAAATTGATTTTAGCCATATTGCATTGTAACTTTTTTAAAACACGAAGAAAACGGCCAATTTTTAGAGTTGATTTTGATTTTTCAAATTCTGATATTTGGATATCGGTAGGTTTTATTTTAGGCACATTTAACGCTTCAATCTAAAATCATACTATAAGTAGTTAGCGCAAGCATGGTATTAACTTTTAAAATTTAAACCGGGAACCCCTAAATTTGTTGGGATATTCTGTAGTCGAATAATATTTTAAATACACAAATGTTAAGAAAGTTTTTTATAACATACTGTTCAAAAAGTTATTGCTATTTAAAGTTTATGTTCGTGATGTATTTTATGAAGCATTTTTAGAAATATTCAAATCAGACAATCAGATTATAATTTAAAATGTATTAGGTTTTAAACACAATTTTGTAGTTTTTTAAAGTTAAGAATTTGTTCTTAAGAAGTTCCAGCAATGTAAGTGTAACTTTTACGAACCAATTCCCACGGTTTTTTAACTCTCTTATTTACGTTTTATTATTAATCTTATATAATGTGTATTATTACGAAACGTTTTTTAAATGCTAATTAATTTAAAAATTATGGTATAAATATTATGTAAAAATGTCCTACTGGGTAATTTTGAATAACACATTTTCAAACAATAGCTTCCAAGATTAGCTAAATTAATTGATTCAAGTTATCAAAATTTAACGAAGATATTACATTAAATTTAGGATAAAATATTTACATTTATATTAAAAATAATATGTCGTTAAAATGTCTGAATCGAGGAGAAACAGTGGAAATAAAAAATTAAATTGACAAAATATACATACTAAATTTAATTTAATTTTTAGTAAATTTTGTAAATTAAATTCAAATGAGTTAAGGGAAAAAAAATAATATATGTAAATGTTGTATAAGAATGATAAGATTAAAATATTAATAATAAAATCATAAAAAAAGCGGAAAACAATTTTGCCAAATAAAAATCTATAGTGAACAAATTAATATTAAATTGAATGTGAATAATATCTAATGAACATAAATATAATATATTTTGATCATCAAGTGTGTATATATAACATTATTTGAAGAGTTATGTATTAAAGAATGCTAAATTTTTTTTTTTTTTGGTGGGTGGAAAAGTAATGTCTTTCAAGATTAGTCCCCCCCCCCCAACACTATAAGTGCTTAAAACTTACAAACTTTATAATTATATAATTTCATCAGCAACCGAAAATATGGATTTCGTACTTCAACAAGTAAGTTTTACTGACAAAATTAAATACATTTAATATTACAGTATTTTATGTAGTAATCTTTACAAGACACTAAAGTTGGCATTAAATATATTCTGTTAATAATTTAAAACCATATTTTCAAGTTTAAAATTAAAACGGATAGAAATATTATTATTACCTATAAATAATACTCAACGAAACTCCTCTTATTATTTAAAATTTTGGTCTGGAGGAAGGGTGGTATGTTGAATTTTTTTTATCTGAGTAAAAAAAACAGTAAATTTAAATACTATAACCTTTTGTATGCCTATACAAAATAAAATATATTCATTTAGATGTTTAATGATGCCTCATCATAAGAATGAAAAAAAATACGTATTGTAGTACAATTGAATATTATTTTAAATACAAGTTATATTAACTGTAAATATACACATGGTCAAATTATAAAAGAATATTATAATAAAATAATGAAAGTTAAAAAAAAACATTATCTATCTAAACATTATGTTTGTTTCTAGTTAAGGTCAAATTAAAATGGATGTTATAACAATTGCATTTATATATTAGTTTTATTTAATTAGTTGTGCGCGATCAAAATTCCAACAATGTCAGTGTATTTATGTATAAATCAATTAAATCAATTAAAACATTTTAGTAAATGATAGTGAAAAAAATAACTATCCTCCTTAGTACAATTTTATTTTATAACTTCTGATATTATTTTATAACTTGTTGTAGGTTTAAATAGAACTTACAATTAGTGTCTTTCTAATATAGCGGCTTCTTATTTACGTTTTATTTTAATTTTATTTATTGTGAATTATTACGTAACGTTTTTTTGCTTGCTAATTAATTAAAAAATGTATAATTTAAATATTTCAAAATTTTCTACTGGGTAATTTAGAATAAATCATTGATAGTATCCAAGCTGAATTAAATTTATACAAAAAATAATACAATTATTTTATACTTTTAATTATTGTAGAATTATCATCGAAGAAAAACCGTGGAAAAAAAATTAATTGATATAATATATACACTTAATTAAATTTCAAGAAAAACTTATATAAGGAAACAGAAAATCACGAGTTTACTATTTGTGTTTAAAACTCACACACTGTATTTCTATATAATTACATCAGCACCGAAAACATGGTTTTGGTACTTCAACAAGTAAGTTTTACTACCAAAAATTAAATACACTTAATGTTTAGTACTTTATGTAGTTAACCATAACTTATTACAAGTCACTAAATTTGACATTAAAATATACCACCTGTTAATTTTTTTCAATTGTTTCATTGTCTCAAATAATAAATTATTAATATTATTTTAGTATTAAAGTTTAAACTTAAAACGGCCAGAAACAATATTATAAAACATTATAGAAACATTATTAACTATTTTGTGATCATTGAAATAAAAATTCAAATGGAAAACTAACTTTAATTTAGTGTACAAACACACAATATCAAATATAAAAAAATGTCAGCTTAAAGTAATTAAAAAAAAAATAATCACAATTGTGTATGTTTAATTATATGTTATTAAACTTTATTTTTTAGTACAATAATTATATGTTTTTTAAAATGTAATCAGTTGATAACATTTTTTTATCACATATGAACACTAAGATTAATATTTTGTATCAGTTAACCCTGAATCAGCAAGCTCGACCCTGTTACAAAATATATTTATAGTAATAAATACTAAATGTCTGTATAGGCGAAGAAAGTCTTATTACCTTAAAATCATTTCTACCGCCGTCTTCTTTACTGTGATGTATTAAAATAGTTATTATTTATTATATGTTTAAATTGATTCAATTTATTTTGATTCCGATTTATTGTTTGCATTCAAATCCACAAAGCTTTCAACAAGTAAGTTTCACTACCAATTTAGTGTTTGAGTGCTTTAAGTAGTTAATATTTATTAGAAACTAATTTTAACGTTAAATAAAATCTGTTCAATTAAAAACCTTAATTTTATTACAGTTACGTGGTTTATTGCCACACATAGTATATCATCAATAGTATTTTAGTATTAAAGTTTATTCTTAAGATGGGTAGAAAAATGGAGAATAGTGTTATAATTATCTGTACTAAACCTGTGTGAGCAATACTCAATGAAACTCCACCTCTCATTCAAAATTTTAAAATGAAATAACTTAAAAAATGATTATTTAAAGCTGGTTGTCGACAATTACACAAATTTAATTTAAAGAAAAACACATTTATGAGGAACCAAATTATGAAAAATTTACTATTTGTGTTTCAAACTTATAGTAGTGAAACAATAATAATATCATTAAAAAGTACATAATATTATTTTATTTTATACCTATATTATTTCAAATGTTATGGGCTGGAAAATGTTTTGGAGTACAAAAAAGCACTGGGTTCTATGTACATTAGTTAGATTAATATTTATGTAACTAGATTGGAGACAATAATATTATGTATTATCATTATAGTACTGTTATCAACCTTGTACCACGGTTTTATTGTTGTGGTTAAATAGCCATTCGTTAGCCACTTATTTATTTAGGGCTGTCGACCTATCTGTCATGACGGTGTGTTTGAAAAGTCGGTAATCTGTAGATATGAATCGCTGGTCAACCAGACTATCACAAAACATTTCATTGTGTTTGGTTTTCTGTGTACTCACCTATCGGACAATGCGATCATATATAATTATGCTGTTTATCCAAAAAAGTCAATTTTGAAAAATTTGTCGCTTACGCTCTTTTACCTTCTGACCATCGACATGTTAAACGAATTTATAATACTGTACATACTTTAAAACAATTTTTGCTTTTTAAAGTTTATGTTCGTGCTGTATATTTTATACTTATATTATTTCATCAGCAACCATAATATTCCTTTGGTCTCTATCTTGAGTACATAGTGATAACAAGCATGGTATTAACTTTTATAATTTTTAATGGAAACCAATAAATTTGTTGGAATATTCTGTAATCGATTAATATTTTAAATACACAAATGTTAAAAAAGTTTTTTATAAAATACTGTTCAAACCAACCGCACTTCCTCTCCCATCCTAACATTAAAATTATGACAACTTTAAACATAGTTATCCGAAACTGGTTACCGACCAGTCAAAATTTTTGGAATAAATGGTTAATAATTATAAACGGGTATTTTAATAAAAATTAAAGAAAATTAATTTAATTTTAATCAAATTTTTGTAATTTCATATGATAAAATTATATCAATATGCATAATATAATAAAATAAAACTTTCGCAGCTAATTCTACTAGAATAACTATCTTTAACTTTGTGCATAAAGTACAAACACAAAATAATAAATTAATAGAATTACAATTTCAAGTTATTTAAAAAAAATTAAACATAATTGTGTATGTACTATTATTTTTCAAATTTGAGATTATTTTACGACATTTATAGGTCACCTTAAACCTTTATGCCTTTACTAAATGCAATGCGTTTAAACATGTGAGGTCAACCTTGTGTAACGTTCCCTGTTTTTTAGTTGATAGATTATCAACATGGTAGGTGAAAAAACAAAATATATCTTCTTGGGCGGTGTTAACACCGCAGCTCATCCGCCAACGAGATTCTCAAAGGCGTCACTGCTCGGAGGTTAAATTATTTATTGTGTATTATTACGTAATGTTTTTTAGCTTGCTCAGTAATTAAAAAATGTAAAAGTCTTATTACCTTTAATAATTTTATGATGCATATTTTATTAAATTTAGGATCAAATATTAACATTTATATTAAAAATGAAAAAACTATTATATTCTTTTAATTATTTTAGAATTATTATCGAAGAGAAACTGTGGGAATAAAAACTAATTGACATAATAATATATACACTAAATTACATACCAAGAAGAACTTATATACCATCATAATTCTAATTTTTTTTAAACATAATTTTGGTGTGATTATAATAAGAATTGAGTTAATTATATATAAATTATATGGTGGAAGCTTAAAAGTCATTGATGTGTTTTTTTTACAACAGTATTATACCTAGAGTGTTTCAAATTAGTTATGGGAAATAAATAATACAAAAACAAGGAAAAAATATAAAAAAAGTTGATTGCCATGTAATAATTGAAAGTGAATAAATTGATGTTAAAATTAGTGTGAACACAAATTAATAGCCATACATAGATAATATATTTGGTTCATTACATTTGTGTTTTAAGTCAAAATATCATTACAGAGTACATAGTATTATTTTACTGTATTATTTTGTCGGCTTCCAAAAACATGATTCTTTTATTTCAACAAGTAAGTTTCACTACCAATTTAATGTTTGAGTGCTTTAAGTAGTTAACCTTTATTAGAAACTAATTTTAGCCTTAAACTGTGTGAGCAATACTCAACGAAACTCCACCTCTCATTCAAAATTTTAAGATGAAATAACTTAAAAAATGATTATTTAAAGCTGGTTGTCGACCATTACACAAATTTAGTTTAAAGAAAAAAACATTTATGAGGAACCAAATTATGAGAAATTTACTATTTGTGTTTCAAACTTATAATAGTGTAACAATAATATCATTAAAAAGTACATAATATTATTTTATTTTATACCTATATTATTTCATCAGCAACCATAATATTCCTTTGGTCTCTATCTTGAGTACATAATGATAAAATATTTAATTTTTGTATTATATTTAAATTTATTTGAGCCATAAAACATTGTAAAATAGTTCAAAATGTTAGAAACTGGGCAATTTTTCAGACGCCATTGTTTTTTTTACAATTTTGACTTTTGGATGTTAGGTGTTATTTTATAACGCTTAAATTAAATTCTTACCTTAAATAGTTCTAAATTACTGTAACTCTTCAAATTTAAACCGGAACCCCATATATTTTTTGGGATATTATGTAAGTAAATATTATTTTAAACACAAAAATGTTAAATGACTTTTAGTTAACATACTGTTCAACAGTTATTGCTATTTAAAGTTTTTGTTAGTGCTTGCTCTATACAGAAGCAATATTAGGAATATTCAAATCAGATAATAATTGTTATCAGACAATTAAAATTTAAATTTTAGTTATGAATTAGTACTTTATGTAGTTGACCATAACTTATTACAAGGCACTAAATTTGACATTAAAATATACCACCTGTTAATTTTTTTTCAATTGTTTCATTGTCTCAAATAATAAATCATAAATATTATTTTAGTATTAAAGTTTAAACTTAAAACGGCCAGAAACATTATTATGAAACATTATAGAAACATTATTAACTATTTTGTGATCTTTGAAATAAAAATTCAAATGGAAAACTAACTTTAATTTAGTGTACAAATACACAATATCAAATATAGAAGAATGACACCTTAAAGTAATTAAAAAAAAATTACTCACAATTGTGTATGTTTAATTATATGTTATTAAACTATATTTTTTAGTACAATAATTATATGTTTTTTAAAATGTAATGAGTTGACAAAATTTTGTATCATATATGAACACTAAGATTAATATTTTGTATCAGTCAACCCTGAATCAGCAAGCTCGTCCCTGTTACAAAATATATTTTTAGCTACAAATGCTAAGTGTAATCATTTCTACCGTCATCTTCTTTACTGCGATGTATTAAAATAGTTATTATTTATAATGTATTTAAATTGATGAACCAATTTATGAGAAATTTACTATTTGTGTTTGAAACAGTGAAACACTGTTATACTTTATAATACCATTATAAAGTACATAAAATTATTATAATGTTTAACTAAATAATAACAACAGCAACCATATCATTTGGTCTCTTTCTTGAATACATAATGATAAAATATGTTTTATTTATGTTCTATTTAGATTGATTTGAGCCATATAACATTGTAAGTTAAATGTTTCCAATTTATATTTTGCTTAATTTTCAGATACACGATATGAGTTATTTTTATTCCATTATACTTACTATCGTGTTAGTTATTTCGATAGTAATTTTGCTAAGGAAAAAAAAACTAAGACAATTTACTTTGGCTGCTCAAATACCTGGTCCAAAAGGTCATTTTATTGTCGGAAGCCTAACGATTTTAATTCGACGACAAATAAAGTTTATAAAGAACTTGAAACAATTATGTAAGAAGTAAGTAATCATAAATAAGCATTTACAATATGTTTTGTGATATAATGTGGTCTAGTTGCCGAAAAAATGTTTTTGAGTTATAATTTGTTCAAATCTATAAAGACAATATAGTAAAAACCAGCTTATTACTATACAAGAAGTAATTGCTCGTAATTTACATGCAAATATTTGATGGAATAGCGTGATCCTACACCAAACTAAACATGATTATGAGATGAAAAACAATTTCAACGAATATGATAATTTTTTATGGAGTTATTAAAACTATACATTAGGTATTGAAATATTATTAAAAACATTTTTTAATGTGTTCATGTCTCCAATGTCTTGCTGACTTTTCGGATTTATTGCAGAGTTTATATTTGGATTGATAGTCATCGTTCCGCTGTATTGGCCATACTGAGTATATGAGTCTAAACGTCAGTTAAAATCTGTAGATATGAAAATTTCTGTAAATTTTTGTTGTAGTACACATTTTTATAACTTTTGAAAGGCAATATAGTAAAAACCGCACATTTATGGATGAAAACACGATATTTCTAATTTAATATAATAACTATTCAACGAAATACTCTTGATGATCATTTTGGAGATAGCTGATAGCCTTTTACCGTGACGATTTTTTAAAGACTTCCCATTGAAACTATTCAAGTTAGAAAAAAATAGGGAAACCTGGACTATGATAATTGTGTTAATTATTTATATATGTAATATAAGTAATTGTGGACAAATTTTAAAAATGAATTCATTTTGTTTAAGGTACAAGCATTCATTATTTAAATTTTGGTTTTTTAACAAGTTGGTTGTTTGTGTATCCAACGCCGATGATGTAGAGGAAGTAATGAATAGTTTAAACTGTTTTCAAAAGAATATACCTTATTCGATAATTGAAGACGTTTTCTCGATTAAGGGATTAATTACAAATAATAATATACACGACTATAAAAGAAACAGGTAAATTATTGTTGTATATAGTATGATATTATAGTTATAAATATTTTGTAAGAAACAAATAGAACATACTGTTCCTATTTAAAGGAGATGAGTAATTAATAATACGTACGTTATTTAGGAAAATTATAAATCAATGGCTAAAGTATTCAAATTTAAAATCATTAATTACTTTATTCTACGAAGAATCTAGAATTCTTGAACACATATTGAGTGAAAAGAGTAAAAGAAAATCAATGGAACTTGAAATAAGCCAATTTTTCGAACTAGCATCGATAGACACTATTGGAAGAACAGCGTTGGGAGAAGAATTTAATTCACAAAACAAAGAAAACCACGATTTCCGAAATAGTTATGCACGTCTAGCAGAAGTAAAAAATGTTTTGTTTTTATTTTACATTTTTGTAGCAAAATAATCCAATGGGACGGAGAAGATACAATTTTGGACTAACAATGTTGTTATTAAGTATCTGTTAAAGAGGTTATTGTTTTTTTTCTAATTCCAGATCTATGCATACCGACTTTCGAATCCGTGGTTTTTAAGCTCAAGTTTATTTTCACTGTCATCGAAAAAACATGAACAACGAAATAGTCAACATTTAATGCATGAATATGTGAATGATTTAATTCAGAAAAAAAAAGTCGCGCTCAATGAAAAAGCTAAATCTACCATTAACGGGTGTCGTGATGAAGATTGTAGTTATCAAAAGCCTAAATATCTAATTGAAATTCTGTTAGCAAACGAACATCAAGTAACACATAAAGAAATGAAGGACGAACTTATAACCATTATAAGTGGTAAGCAATATATTATTTAAATTCTATAGCGGTAAAAAGTAAATTTTAGCAATGTGTTCTAGCTTATTTTTGGAGTTAAAAATATTGGTATTTTAATGATGTATTATATATTATTATGTTTCTGGTAATATTTGTATACATCAAGTCAAAACATCATATGTTGCACTCAAAATATACATATAATGATAAAATAAAAGGAAATAATTCATCTTATTCTTTTCAAATTCAAACTTTCTCCCCTTCCCAAAAAAATAAAATATTAACTTATAATAAGAACTACTTCCAAAATTCTGTTAAATAAACGTTATTTAAATGAATTTTTGTTTAAGCGGGACATGAAACAACTGCAAAAGCAAATTCATTAGTTATATTTATGCTGGCTCATCATCAAGATGTTCAACAAAATGTAATTATTTCTGTAATAAATTACAATTCCATAATTATTAAAATTTAAAAGTATTTAATTATATTCGATTCTAGGTATATCAAGAATTAAATTCAATATTTTCGGATGGTGATTTTAACCGACCGCCTACATACGAGGATTTACAAAAAATGGAATACTTAGAACGCGTTATCAAAGAAACCATGCGACTTTATCCAGCTATTCCTATAGTGCTCAGACAAGTACAAAACGAAATGATGATTGGAGAATATCTTATCCCGGCGGGTAGAACCTATTAAAAATAATATATTTTTTTTAAATTGCATGTCCCTAATTAATAGTTGTCAAATATTATTATTTACAGACACTATTATTTTGATTCCGATTTATTGTTTGCATTCAAATCCACATAGTTATAAGGATCCAGATCAATTTAATCCTGACAACTTCTTACCTGACGTGTGTCGCAGTCGTCATCCTTATGCGTACATTCCTTTTAGTGGTGGCACAAGAAACTGTATTGGAATGAAATACGCAATGCTCCAAATGAAGATTGCGATATCTACTCTTGTAAGGTCCTACCGTTTTTCGCCATCAAAGAAATGCCCTACTCCGAAAGATCTTAAATTATCGTGTACTATAGCACTGGAATTTAGCAACGGATGTTATGTTAAAATAGAACCAAGATCGTAATTGGTAGCTTATAGTATTTACATATTTTTTAATTATGTAGAATTTACTGAAATCGTTTACTGTTTTAGAAACCAAATTTAAATACCCTTTTTTTTGTTATTAAAATTATTAAAAGTTTCTCAGGGTATTTTTATTGGATTTCAAAATTGTATAATAAGATGTATAGTTAACGGAGATATCTTAAAAGGGTATATACTTAAATTTAAAAAATCAAATGTTATGGGCTGGAAAATGTTTTGGAGTACAAAAAAGCACTTGGTTCTATGTACATTAGTTATAATTAATATGTATTTATTAAAGTTATTTAACACCTTTTTATATATTATAATGGTTATAATTATTATAAATAGCAAATAAATATGTATCTTATTATTTTTTATGTTCATTATCAATGGTTTACCAAAAACCGAATATTACAATTTTTATTTATAATCTATATTATACAAATAGTAAATTATGCAATTTAATATTAAATCAACTATTGTTAATTTTACTTGTATTTTATTTCGATATTGTTTCTACTGTTGTGACCAGAGGGCATGTAGATGCAGTTTTTATTAATATAAAAAAACGTTGATACATTAAATTGAAATGTTCTGTGTGGTAAATTAAAATATGTTGAACTGAAGAACCCTTATCTTAACTGGTTTGATTTATAAGCTTCAGGTAGGTGGCATCCAGTTAGTATTAATAATGTTATTTCTTCCGGTATTCACTTAACTCCATCGTTATTCATCGTATTTTTAATAAATGATACTGTTTTTTCCATCATTCTTGCTGTTTGTTTTTGGCCGATGTGATCTTCGTGTGTTGAGTTGTTAATAGTGCAATCAAAGGTAATTGATTGGTGTAAATCACATAATTTGTACTTTGTTCCTTTTTGTATATCTTTATTTCACCTTTATCATTTGCTCTTTAGTGCGTCAATTAAAAAAAATATATTATTTAATTAAGTCCATTATGTTAGAGTTCTTTAAAAAGAGTAAGATAAAAATTGACCATCACAGCAGTCATCATCATCACGGAAGTAAATCAAAAACTAGTTAATTAACTGTTTGATTTAATCAAATTTAATTAAAATTTTAAATCTTATTAATTTAAGACAGGGAAATATTTTAATTCGTAATTGCTACCAATTACGATCTTGGTTCTATTTTAACATAACATCCGTTGCTAAATTCCAGTGCTATGGTACAATAAATTTAAGATCTTTCGGAGTAGGGCATTTCTTTGATAGCGAAAAACGGTAGGACCTTACAAGAGTAGATATCGCAGTCTTCATTTGGAGCATTGCGTATTTCATTCCAATACAGTTTCTTGTGCCACCACTAAAAGGAATGTATGCAAAAGGATGACGACTGCGACACACGTCAGGTAAGAAGTTGTCAGGTTTAAATGGAATGAAATTTAACAGTTAACAGGTTAACTTTCACCATGTATATACTATATACATTTGTGTACACTGAAAATAACATTGATTGTTATATTAAATGCATTAACTATAATCTTTTGGTAAATTAATTAACATTTAACTTAAATTAATTAATATTTAACTTACATTAATGTGGCTATTGTTTCTAAAATACCACACACAAAGAATAAAGTAACAAAAAAAATTTGCACCTTCAATAAACTCGAACGAAACAACATAATACGTAGAACAAATACATTTTGCTCCATTAATAAATTATATAATAATGACAAGGAACAATTACATTTTATTTGTTCCGGAACAAATATCAAAGGAACGAGTTCCGAGTATTTGCTCCGGAACGAATATCTCAAGGAACGAGTTCCGGGTATTTGTTCCGGAACGAATACCTCGAGGAACGAGTTCCGAGTATTTGCTCCGGAACGAATATCTCAAGGAACGAGTTCCGGGTATTTGTTCCGGAACGAATATCTCAATGAACGAGTTCCGGGTATTTGTTTCGGAACGAATATCTTGAGGAACGAGTTCCGGGTATTTGCTCCGGAACGAATATCTCGAGGAACGAGTTCCGAGTATTTGCTCCGGAACGAATATCTTGAGGAACGAGTTCCGGGTATTTGTTCCGGAATGAATATCTTGAGGAACGAGTTCCGGGTATTTGTTCCGTGACATAAAAGAGAAATGAGTCAAATAGGAACGAATTCCGAACCCCTGATTATATCATATGGAATTACAAAAATTTGATTAAAATTAAATTAATTTTTATTAAAATACCCGTTTATAATTTGTATATAAAAGTATACAGGGCGATCCACTTATCGTGAACCACTCAATAATTTATAGGGTTTAATAAGAAATTAAAATATTTTTCTACACATTTTTGTGATACAGTGTGATCTCAATTTTTCATAATTTTTTTTGTTTTTATCCCCCTCCCAACTTAGGTTTTTTGATAGCTACTTTTAAAACTGAAATGGCAACGTATATAATTTATTAAATTCTTAAATTGAGGATAATATACTAGGAATTTAAACTGGTCGGTAACCAGTTTCGGAGAATTATTTTTAAAATTACATGAGTTTTAAAGTTAGGATGGGAGGGGAATAACGGTTGGGAAATGCGCGGAGATAAAAATAATACTACACTCAACCTTCCTCCTGCCATAAACTTGAAACTTCAAGTATTAAAATACGCATTTATAATATTTGTACATGTATATTTACAGTCAATAAAACTCCACAAGTTTTTCAAACCATTTTTAATCATATTAAAATGTAAAATATTTGTTTTTTTGATTATTGAGTAATGTCAGTCTCTTACAACTCACATAAATATAATTTGTGTTAATTAAATTTAACCCTTAACTTGTCGATGTATCTTTCAAGATACGTAAAATTGAAATAAATTTCCCAGTGTAATATGGTAGTAGGTTTTTATTTAAATTTGATTGGTTGTTAAAATATATATGTATGACAACTTCCCACTAGGAAGATAAAATTTAATTTCCACTGGGAAATTTCCAAGAACACATTGTATATCGCTAAAATGAAACCCCAAGGTTAATTAAAAAAATAGTTTTATTTTATTAAAATGTAGAGCAATATACAATTATACAAACATCACTTTAAAAATTAGCAATTTATATTAAAAATAATGTAAACTACCAAAATAAACATACTGTTTATTCATTTCGCGTATTTAAAATTTAACTAACAAACATCAAAGTTAATATAATGAGGTATCGTGAGTAAAATTAAACAAAATCCTTTTTTAAGAAGACATTATAACAGAAATTTACTATTGCTTCTCAAATATTAAGTTCCTTAGAACTATTTAAATTTGTAAATGGTTTTATGCTATGATTAGTATCCAATAATTGTTCCGTAAAAGGACATTTCTATGCTTCTTGGTTTTTTATGTTCCTTATTTGTGTTCTTTATACCTAAGCCTATGTGTTATAGGAACCAGTGCATAATTGCGACTACCACACGTGTGATAAACAGACTATAAATGACATTGTATGTAGTTAAACGTAGGAATAGGATACAATTTACTATGTAGACAACTTTAAGAATCAAGCATGTTCATTTTGTTTACATTATTAAACATTTTTTTTTTTTTAGTGTTCTAGGTTTTTTAGTTTTTTAAAAAGTCAGTTTTTTACTTGCACTGACATGCATTTGTACAAAAATGATACACAGATAACGTACTAAATACTAATTAGTAGCTTTGTTTTATGTTTTTTTTTAATAAATAAGAAACAAATTGTTTATAGGTTTTGACTGCTGAAATATAAATTTATCGAGATACGACCAATACAAACCTAAGATGTAGATACAATTTTTAATTATTGGAAAAATAATTTGTGTATAAATCGTTTAATTGAATTAACCATAAATAATCAGTTTTTATGTACCAATTCAAACTCACCGACAAATGGCAAACTAACGTATTAGTCTGTTTTCTAATAAATTGGAATTCCCACTTTGTCGGTAAGGTAAGGCGGAACCACTAAAAATAATTATTTCCAAACCATGCTTTTAAATTTTAAAGCCACGGTTTTCTTCTCCTGCCAGGTCTTATTTCAGTGATATTTTTCCTTACAAAATGGATTGAAGTATAGGATTTCAGCTCTCATTTCTCATAATGAGACCCAGTTATTGGAGCTTTCTGAAATAAATTGTGTTAATAAGCTCAGTATCTTTGCAGTTTGTTCATTGTTCTGATAACTTCGATGTTTGTAATCCGAGCAGTTCAAGGTATTTATAGCATTCATTATAATCACATCTTAAATGTTTCCGATTTCTTTGTGATGTCATCATTTGTAGTGCATGATTCCTCTCCGTTCAGCAGCAAAGAGAACACATGGCATCTTATATGTCTAATTTTTTTTTCAAGAGAAAGGTTGTGACTATTTATAAGGTAAAGAAAGAATAGTGTTTAAAATAAATACCCTAATAATAACATAAAGTATGTAATTGTAAATTTTTAATTACATTTTACAATATTATTGACATTTTACCAACTACAAGATTATAATATCTTTATCCAGTTGTCATTAAATATAGTCTGTTATTAATTGAAAACCATATATTTTTACAGTGTTTCACTGCCTTAAATATTATATTGTTAACATGATTTTAGTATTAACGTTTAAACATAAAACGGGTACAAAGAATATTATTACCTTTAATTTTGAAAATATAAGAAACTTATCATATATTCAAATATATTTGGAGAATTTATTTATTTTTTTCAAATTTTGCATATGATAGGTATTATTTTATGCACAAGAAACACTTAAATCCAAAATCTTACCTTAAGTAGTTTGCGCATTCACAGTATCAACTTTGAAAATTTAAATGGGAACCCCTATATTTTTCGGGATATTCTTATAGCAATTAATATTTTAAATACAAAAATGTTAAACGACTTTTTAATAACATAATGTTCAAAAGTTTTTGTTATTTAAAGTTTAAGTTGGTGATGTATATAACGAAGCATTTTTAGAAATATTCAAATCAGACAATCAGATTATAATTTAAAATGTATTATGTTTTAAACAGAAAAAAAAAGTCATGATCATCAATTTAAATATAACCATTTATAAATGTATACAAAATAAAATATATGCATTTAGTTAATGATGCCTCATCATAAGAATATGAACAATTACGTATTAAAATACAATTAAAAATTATTTTAAATTCAAGTCAAATATACATATGTACAAATTATAAAAGAATACTTTAATAAAAAAATGCAGTTTAAAAAATAACACTATCTATCGAAACGTTATTTTGGTTTTTAGTCAATGTCCAGTTAAAATGGATTTGATAACAATCGCGTTTATAAATTAGTTTTATCTAATTAGTCATAACAGACCGCACGTCTGTGCGCGGGCCAAATTCTAACAATGCAAGTGTAACTTTCACGAACCAATTCCCACGGTTTTTCTAACCATCATATACCTATCTGCTTCCTCTTATAATGGGCTTTTGAAATTTGAAACATAGATTCAGGCTTAAGAAGCTTAGGACTCTGTAAAAAATTGAGACCTTAATATGCATCATAAAACGAAAATTTATAAAATTGCGGATATTGTAAGAGTTATTGAGTATCTAATCCTTAATGAAACACTATGTAAAGCCAATATCTTTGCTAAATCAATTAATTCGTTGAGTATTGCTTTAAGAGAATAAAAATCTCTGCCCGTATTAAGTTTAAACTTTAATACTTAAATATTAATAATTTTAAAATGTTTGAGGCAACGAAACCCTGTAAAACAATATGGTTTGTAAAAAATATTAGGCGATGTTTAATGCTAACTTTAGTGTCTTGTAAAGGTTGACGACTATTATCAACAATCAAAATTTGTTTATTTTGGAAACTACTATAGCAACAATAATAATAGTTCAAATAAAAGAAAATACTGTTCGATTAATTTATTATGAAAACATTTTAAATGTTATTTAGAATTGTCTGATTGTTTATGGATACAAATCTGGTTAGGTTAGGTATTATACAAAAATAAAGTCAAGTTGAAACAACATATAATTAATATGCCAGTGAATTCCGATCACTGGTATATTGGAATATGTTTTACTTTATAATCTAAACTAATATCTGTATATTTTATACAAAAGTTTAAAATACCAATTATCTAATAATGTCGACTATAACAAGGTATAACCCTCAAGTTTTAAACAGGTATACACACAGTAATTTAATAAAAATTAGTACAAAATAAATGTACCTAAAACAAACATAAATGCATCCTCCAAACCTTCGAGTACAATCTCTTTTCCTGTTTTTTATTCTCTTTTCTCGGAATATAACACAAATGTCTTTAAGTAATTTTAAATTTCATCCACGCAGTAGAAACGGCACGTAAATTGTGTTGAATGAAATACATTTATAGAAAATAACAATACCCAATTACGTAGCAACTCAGAATGTGGTGACCAGTTAATGCAATCAACAAAGTTTTAAAAAAAAAATATTCACATTTAGCTTCCCATTACAACACAAAGCCAAGGAGATCAAATACTTACAAGGATGAATAAAATATGTACAACATTTTTTTATACCATTTGTTTTATATCAAAAAACCTTTTTGGGTTTTTTTTCTTTAAAAAAGTAACATTTTTCAAATGTTTGCCAATCTTAAACAATTACCTCACTATCGACTGACTGTGGTAACATCGATATATTTAATTATAAATATTAGGTTTTTGAATTTGATTCGTTCTTTGATTAAAGCAATAGATGCATATCGCAAACACTTCATTGGCTTAGGTCATATTATCCCCCAAAAGAAGAACACAAACTATAAAAATTACCACTAAACACGAATGAAATTAATTACAATGAAGAAGATGAAAGATAAAGCTGATGTTTTCTTATGATATAAGTAATTTACTTGATAGGCCAATAAAAAACTATGTCCGCTTTGTGACTGGCCGTCTCTCGAACACACACAATCTTATTATGCAAAATAAATTATTTTGTTTTATGCGACGTTTAATGTAAAGTTATTATGAATAGTTAAAGAGACAATTTCACCGTGCAAACGACTGTAGTACATATTTTGTTTGCCACGTGACATAGATATTTTATAACAAACGTTTTGTTTTCGGCCGTGTACTTATACTACCTACTATTATCAATTGTAAAGATTTTCGTCAAAATGTAATTGTATATTTATTAAGACAATTATCAAAAAACTGCAAATCAGTGAGGTTGGAGAGCATACTGAGGACGGTTAGGTAATTGGTCTACAGGAATTATATATATAACTGATAAAATTACTTTTAAACTACTTTAAACGCTTCGACGCAAACCTTTAATTAGCTTGTTCAAAACAGTACAGCCAAAACCATGCACGGTATCGATAAACCAGCACTGTAAGAAATTGTCAAAACAATTCTTGGGACCTCCCCATTTTTTTTTTTTTCAAAAATATAGTGACATAAATCTCACGTTAGGAATACTATTGAAATGTCGACGATTTTAGTTACAATTTTTGTACTCAATAAAAATGTTTATTTCCATTACAATAAACCTTTGTGGTCTGAACAGAATGCGCCACCATGTGAGTAAAATACTTTTTATGAGATTTAAATAACTGAAATTTATAAAAGTAACTTTTAGCTTCGATGCAAAGCGGGGAAGGTATTGGTTTTACTGTAGTGTAGGCTTTTTTGTGTCTGGAAACACTGTATTTTTTTTAATACTGAACCAATTCTTCCGAGTAGTAACTCTAGGTTTGTAGGACAAATTATTAATGTTGTAAAAATTAGCACAACAAGTTGAAATAAATTTACATTTATCAAAAGAATTTTCTAGAATCTTAAACTAAAATATTTCCCCGTGTTAAATTAATAAGATTTAAAATTTTCATTAAATTTGATTAAATCAAACAGTTTTTGATTTACTTCTGTGGCGATGTTGACTGCCGTGATGGTCAAATTTTATCTTACTCTAACATAATGGACTTAATTAAAAAATATTTTTTTTTTAGAAGACGGACTCAAGAGCAAATGATAATGGTGAAATCAAGTTAAACGAATAGGAATAAAAATGTACAATTTATTGATGTTTTATACTAAGATCCTTAATATGTGAAACATTTATAAGATTAGCACCATCTATATTATACGTAAACAGTTCAAAAGATCGTTTACGACAAAACGTGATCTGAAAATATTTAGAGATATATTTTAAACATAGACCATTTGAAATTTACAACACACCAGTTATAAACTCTGTTTAAATTCTCCTGCTAATTGCGAAAATAAAAACAACTCAACCAACACTTGTACAGAATTTACATCATCGGCCAAATAGAAACAGCAAGAATGATGGAATAAATCAGCAAGATCATAGATACACATTTAGAATAGTTATGAAGATAAGTGCCCACGCTAGAAGACTCCACCGATAACACGTATTCCGGAAGAAATAAAATCATTAATACTAACTTTATGCGACCTATTTAAAATAAGGGTTCTTCAGTTCAATTTTTTTTAATTTATCAATTACAACAGTATGATTTAATGAAGCAAGCATTAGTTAATATCAATAAAACATTGCATCTACACGCCCTCTGATCGCAACAGTAGAAACAATATCTAAATAAAATACAACTAGATATAACAATTGTCGATTTAATATTAAATAGTATTATTGTTATAATATTGATTATAAATTAAAATCGTATAATTTGTTTTTGCGGTACACTAATGCCAATCAGCATAAAGAGTATTAAGATAAATATGAAAGGGTGTTAAATTATTCGAATAAATACATACTAATAAAAAAAAAATGTACATAGAACCCAGTGCTTTTTTCTACTCCAAATCATTTTCCAGCTTACACCATTTTATTTTTTTAATTTAAGATATTTTCGTTAACTATGCATCCTAATATACAATATTGAAATCCAATAAAAATATCCTGAGAAACAAAACACTTCGTAATATGAATTTATGAATTTCATAGAGTTTTGATTCTTTATGTATAATTATGTTAATAACAAAAAAAATGTATTTAAATTTGGTTTTAAGACAGTAAACAATCTCAGTAAGTTCTACTCAGTTACAAAATACCTAAATACTATAAACTACTCATTACTTTCTTGATTCTATTTTAACGTAACATCCGTTAATAAATTCCAGTGCTATGGTACACGATAGTTTAAGTTCCTTTGGCGTAGGGCATTTTTCTGATGGCGAAAAACGGGAGGACCTTACAAGAGTAGATATCGCAGTCTTCATTTGGAGCATTGCGTATTTCATTCCAATACAGTTTCGTGTGCCACCACTAAAGGGAATGTACGCAAAAGGATGACGACTGCGACAAACGTCAGGTAAGAAGTTGTCAGGATTAAATTTTTCTGGATCCTTATAGCTTTGTGGATTTAAATGCAAACAATAAATGGGAATCGCAATAATTGTCTCTGTAACAAAATAATATTTCACTACTATTAATTAGGTTCTGTGAAGACATGTAATTTAAAAACATTTATTTTTTATTTTTAATAGGTTCTACCCGCCGGGATTAGATATTTTCCAATCATCATTTCGTTTTCTACTTGTCTGTGCACTAGAGGAACAGCTGGATAAAGTCGCATGGTTTCTTTGATCACACGTTCTAAGTATTCCATTTTTTGTAAATCCTCGTATGTAGGCGGTCGACTTAAATCACCATCCGAAAATATTGAATTTATTTCTTGATATACCTAGGGTCAAATATAATTAAATAATTTTAATTTTTTACAAATATGGATTTGTAATTTATTACAGAAATAATTACATTTTGTTGAACATCTTGATGATGAGCCAGCATAAATATAATTAATGAATTTGCTTTTGCAGTTGTTTCATGTCCCGCTTAAACAAAATTTTGGAAAAAGTACTTCTTATTGTAAGTTAAAATAGTAATTTTTGGTGGTAGGGTTTTGATTTTAAAGAGAAGGAGATGTAGAACATATAATGTATTAAAAGGGTTTACAAGTATATTAACAGAAACATAACAATAAATAATGCATCAATGAAATACCAATATTTTTAACTAAAAAAAAAAGCTAGAACACATTGCTAAAATTTACTTTTTACCGCTATAGAATTTGAATAATATATTGCTTACCACTTATAATGGTTATAAGTTCGTCCTCCATTTCTTTATGTGTTATTTGATGTTCGTTTGCTAACAGAATTTCAATTAGATGTTTAGGCTTTTGATAACTACAATCTTCATCACGACACTCGTTAATAGTAGAATTAGCTTTTTCATTGATTTCGACTTTTTTCTTCTGGATTAAACTATTTACAAATTTATGCATTAAATGTTGACTATTTCGTTGTTCATGTTTTCTCGACGACAGTGAAAACAAACTCGAAGTATAAAACCACGGACTTGAAATTCTGTATGCAACGATCTAAAACAAAACAGTAAGCTGCATAACAGAATTTAATTACAACATTGTTAGAGCATAATAATATTTTCTCAGTCTCGCGTGATCTAATGTGGCAACTATAAAAAATAAAATAAAAACAAATAATTTTTACTTCTGCTAGACGTGCATAACTATTTCGGAAATCGCGGTTTTCTTTGTTTTGTGAATTATATTCTTGTCCCAACGCTGTTCTACCAATAGTGTCCATCGATGCTAGGTCAAAAAATCGGCCTATTTCAAGTTCAATTGGTTTTCCTTTACTTTTTTCACTCAATATGTGTTCAAGAACTTTATATTCTTCGTAGAATAAAGTAATCAATGATTTTAAATTTGAATACTTTAGCCATTGATTTATAATTTTCCTAAATAACGTACGTTTTATTAATTATTCATCTCCTTAAAATAGGAACAGTTTGTTTCCTTAGTTTCTTATAAAATATTTATAATCATGATATTATATAATATATCATATATAGGAGGAGTGGCTGAGTGGGTAAGGCGACAGTGTGTTAGCGCTCACTGTCGCCGGTTTGACATCTCATGCAGCGTCGGCCCTGCATGGCCCGTTCAGCTACATGATGATAATGATTATATATATTTATAAATTACAATATTTTACCTGTTTTTTTTATAGTCATGAACATTGTTAGTTGTAATTAGCCCCTTCATCGAGAAAACATCTTCAATTAACGAATAAGGTATATCCTTTTGAAAAGAATTGACACTATTCATTACTATTTCTATATCTTTGGCGTTGGATATACAAACAACCAGCTTGTTAAACAACCAATATTTAAATAATGAATGCTCGTACCTTTAACATATAGAGCTCGTTTTATAATTTGTCTATAAATATATATATTATATATTTAAACAATTAACATAATAATCACAATCAAAGATTCTTGCATTTAATCCAATTTTAATATATTATACCTTAAAGTTCTGTAGCATGTATGTGTTTCTAAAGACATTTGTGTTAATAATTTGGGCCACAGTAAAAAGCTAACTATTCCCGAATTGATCATCACATTTCGTTGAAAAAATCGTGATGGTATTCATTGGTTCAAGGCTACATTATCCCACAAAATGTATGCAAGTAAACTAAGAGTATTTACTTTCTTGTATAATAATAAGCTAGTCTTACTACATTGTCTTTATAGTATTCAACAAATTGGAAGAGACACGTATTAATTGTTTATTAAATTAAAAATTTTTTCAGTAACTAGATCAAACCATACCACAAAACCCCACATGATTATTCACGATTACTTACTTCTTGCATAACAGTTTCATACTCTCTAAAAACTTTTCTTGTCCTCGAGTTATAATCGTTAGGTTACCCACAATAAAATGACCTTTTGGACCAGGTATTTGAGCAGCCAAAGTAATTTGTCTTTGTTTTTTTATCCTTTGAATAATTACTATCGATATAACTAACAGGATAGTAAGTGTAATGGATTGAAAATAACTCATATTATAAATCTGAAAAATAAGCAAAATATGAATTAAAAACATTTAACTTACAATATTTTTTGACTCATATCAATCTAAATTCCTGATGGATTAATATAGTTATACAGTGTGTACTTTTTAATGATGTTATGGTTTCACTGTTGTAAGTTTTAAAACAAATATTACATTTTTTAAATTTTGGTTCCTTATACAAGTTTTTCTTGGAATATAATTTAGCGTACCTTAGTATATATTTCTCTAAAGAATGTTGTATATATTAATAGTACTATTATAAAAAAAACTCTATATTCCATCCATGACGAGCAAAATATATATTCATATAAGTAAATATATATGTTTTCTTAAATTTAATGACGTAATATGCTTGTTAAGGTTAACTACATAAAGTACCAAAACATAAAATGTATTTAACATTTTTAGTAAAACTTACTTGTTGAAATGGAAAATTCATGTTTTTTGCTGATGAAATTCTTTAGTCATATACTCGTAGTGTGTACTTTATATTGATATTATGGATTCACTATTGTAAGTTTTAAACACAAATAGTAAATTTCTGATAATCTGGTTTTTTATATAAGTTTTCCTCGGAATTTAATTTATTGTATATTATATTATGTTATTTCATTTTTATTTCCACGGTTTCTCTTCGATAATAACTCTTCAATAATTAAAAGTATATAGTAATATATTTATTTTTAATATAAATGTAAATATTTCATCCTAAATTTTATATAATATGCTTCAGTAAATTTTGAATAACTTGAAAAAAATGTTTTAATTAAACTTGGAAACTAGCGTTTGGCAATGAGTTATTCAAAATAACCTAGTAGGAAATTTTGACATATGTATATTATACTTTTTTTAATTAATTAGCAAGCTAAAAAGACGTTACGCAATAATACACATTATATCAAATTAAAAAAAAACGTAAATAAGAAGCCACTATATTAGAAAGAGACTAGGTTCTATTTGGACCTACAACAGGTTATAAAATATTATCAGAAAGTATAAAATATTATTGTATTAAGAAGTATAGTTGTTATTTTTTTACAAATGCGTGCTTTATTGTCATAAGTATTATGTAGTTCTAACTTTCTACTGTATAAACACTATTATTTACTAATATTTTTTAATTTGATTAATAAATTTAGCAAAGATATTGGCTTGACATAGTTTTTAATTAAGGATAAGACATTTAATATCTCTTACAATATCCGAAATTTTATCAATTTTCGTTTTATGATGCATATTATTTATTTTGTATAGGTATATAAAAGGTTATAGTATTTAAATTCACTGTTTTTTTGTACTCAGATAAAAATAATTCAACATTCCACCCTTCCACCAGATATAAATTTTAGTTTTAAATAACTTTTAATCTAATAACCCAAACCTTGTTTTCAACCACTTTACTTCCAAACTGTCGCGATTTAAGAATCTTTTTGGCGTCTGAACCGCGGTTTAACACTACTTCCTAATATGGCCTACGAAAATTTTTTTGTTCGCCTATTTAGTTGATAATCGATCAACTAGAGAACAGCGAAAGTTACACGGCTGACCTCACATGTTTAAATTCATTGCATTCAATAAAGCCTTAAAGACCTAAGACGACCTAAAAATATCGTAAAAGAATCTTAAATTTGAAAAAGAATATTACATATACAATTATGTTTAATTTTTTTTAAATAACTTAAAGGTGCATTGCTGTAAAATTTTTTATTGTGTGTTTGTACTTTTTTCTAAATTAAAGATAGTTATTCCATTAGAATTCTTAACTTTAAAAAACTACACAATTTTGTTTAAAACATAATACATTTTAAATTATAATCTGATTGTCTGATTTGAATATTTCTCAAAATGCTTCATAATATACACCACGATCATAAACTTTAAATAGCAATAACTTTTGAACAGTGTGTTATAAAAAACTTTTTTAACATTTGTGTATTTAAAATATTAATCGATTACAGAATAGTCCAACAAATTTATTGGTTCCCATTTAAAATTTTAAAAGTTAATACCATGCTTGCGCTAACTACTTATAGTATGATTTTAGATTCAAGCGTTAAATGTGCCTAAAATAAAACCTACCAATATCCAAATATCTGAATTTGAAAAATTAATTAAATAAACTAATTAAATAAAACTAATATATAAATGCAATTGTTATAACATCCATTTTAATTTGACCTTAACTAGAAACAAACATAATGTTTAGATAGATAATGTTATTTTTTAACTTTTATTATTTTATTTTAATATTCTTTTATAATTTGTACATGTGTATATTGACAGTTAATATAACTTGTACTTAAAAAAATATTCAACTGTATTATAATACGTAATTTTTTTTTATTCTTATGATGAGGCATCATTAAACATCTAAATGAATATATTTTATTTTGTATAGGTATACAAAATGTTATAGTATTTAAATTAACTGTTTTTTTGTACTCAGATAAAAATAATTCAACATTCCACCCTTCCTCCAGACCAAAATTTTAAATAATAAGAGGAGTTTCGTTGGTTATTATTTATAGGTAATAATAATATTTCTATCCGTTTTAATTTTAAACTTTAATAATTAAATAATATTGAAAATATAATCTTTGAAGCAATAAAACACAGTAAAAATATGGTTTAAAATTATTAACAGAAGATATTTAATGCCAACTTTAGTGTCTTGTAAAGATTAATTTAGCTAATCTTGGAAGCTATTGTTTGAAAATGTGTTATTCAAAATTACCCAGTAGGACATTTTTACATAATATTTATACCATAATTTTTAAATTAATTAGCATTTAAAAATCGTTTCGTAATAATACACATTATATTAGATTAATAATAAAACGTAAATAACAGAGTTAAAAAACCGTGGGAATTGGTTCGTAAAAGTTACACTTACATTGCTGAAATTTAGCCTGCGCACAAACGTGTAGTCTGTTATAATTATTTAAATAAAACTAATTTATAAATGCCATTGTTATCAAATCCATTTTAATTTGACCTTAGCTAAAAACAAACATTATGATTAGATAGATAATGTTAGTTTTCAACCTTCATTACTTTATTTAAATATGCATTTATAATTTGTACATATTAAGTATATTTACTGATAATATTATTCCAACTCATTTTAAAAACATTTTCAATAGTATTATAATACTTAATTGTTCTTATTCTTAAGATGAGGCATCATTAACCATCTAAATGCATATATTTTATTTTGTATAGGTTTACAAAAGGTTATAGTATTTAAAAGGTTTTGGTATTTAAATTTACTGTTTTTTTTGTACTCAGATAAAAATAATTCAACATTCCACCCTTCCACCAGACATAAATTTTAATTTTAAATAACTTTTAAAGTAATTATCCAAAACTTATTTTCATCCACTAAACTTCCAAACTGTCGCGATTTAAGAATCTTGTTGGCGGTTGAGCCGCGATTTAACACCACTTCTTATTATGGCCTAAAAAATGTATCACTTTTGTTCGCCTGTTTAGTTGATAATCGATCAACTAGAGAACAGCGAAAGTTACACGGCTGACCTTACATGTTCAAATGCATTGCATTCAATAAAGGCTTAAAGGCCTAAGGCGACCTAAAAATATCGTTAAAGAATCTTAAATTTGAAAAAGAATAATACATTTACAAATATGTTTAAATTTTTTAAAATAACTTAAAGATGTTTAAATTTGTTATTGTGTGTTTGTTTTTTTCTAAATTAAAGATAGTTATTCCATTCAAATTCTTAACTTTAAAAAACTAAACAATTGTGTTTAAAACCTAATACATTTTAAATTATAATCTGATTGTCTGATTTGAATATTTCTAAAAATGCTTCATAAAATACACACGAACATAAACTTTAAATAGCAATAACTTTTGAACAGTGTGTTATAAAAAACTTTTTTAACATTTGTGTATTTAAAATATTAATCGATTACAGAATATTCCAACAAATTTATTGGTTCCCATTTAAAATTTTAAAAGTTAATACCATGCTTGCGCTAACTACTTATAGTATGATTTTAGATTCAAGCGTTAAATGTGCCTAAAATAAAACCTATCAATATCCAAATATCTGAATTTGAAAAATCAAAATCAGCTCTAAAATTTAGACGTTTTCTTCATATTTTAGATATCTTACAATGTAATATGGCTAAAATCAATTTAAATATAATACAAAAATAAATTTGTTTAATTTATGTATTCGAAAAAGTGACTAAAGGCATGATATAGTTGATATGATATAGTTTTAAAATGTTGATTAATAGGTAGATTTTCATTGAGAATGGCTCAAAGGTAACAATCATCTTTTTACCCGTTGTAAGATTAAACTTTAATTCTTAAATAATATTAATGTATCATATTTCAGGCAATAAAAACACTGTAAAAAAATGTGGGTTTTTATTAATATGAGATGGTATATTTGCTAACTTTAGTGCCTTGTAAAGGTTAACTACATAAAGTACTAAGACATGTTTGAAAAATAAAATAAAAACACGTATTTAATATTTTTAGTAAAACTTACTTGTTGAAATAGAAAATTCATGTTTTTGATTGCTGTTGAAATTATATAGTTTCAGTGTGTAAGTCTTAAACACAAATGGTAAATTTCTAATATTCTTGTTCCTTTTATACGTTTTTCTTAAAATTACATTTTTTGTATATATTATACCTATTAATGTTTATTTCAATTGTTTCTCTTCAATTCAGACTTTAATTAAAAGTATACAATAATTTGATTATTTTTAATATAAATGCAAATATTTTATACTAAATTTAATGTAGTATTCTTCATTAAATTTTTTTCACATAATGAATTTGTACATTAAACTTTCTTATAGAGGGGAATTTTAATAACGCATTATGAATTTAATTTTTATATTATTTTACAAGAATATAAAGCTTAGAACATCTATAATACGGCCAAGTAAATGAAAATTATAAAAAATTCATTAATTATATTATGATACAAATTACTTACTCGAAAGCAGCATCCATTTTACATAAACAGCGTGGAAGTACAAACAAAATGGTAAAATATCTCGTAATAGATGAAAATATAAATGAATGCCAAAAATAGACTTCTAATAACTTTCTTTAAGTTTAACAATTCTTAGCATTTTCTTGATGGTTTTGATGTGAATAGGTAATTATAACTATAATTACCCATTCACAAATATTGGTACCTAACATTTCAAATGTTTCTTTTTCTTCAATAATCTATTTTAAATGATTTATGATTTATGTTATCCACAAAAAAAATCTTCCTTCAACTGTATGTATAATAATTCCAACTCTGTTCATAATTTAATATATCAGTTTGAGGTTATCTATGTTAAACGGTTTTTTACAGTTGATTGATTGAATAATTTGTTAGTTTAACAAAAACAGACTTCTAATAACTTATTTAAGTTTAACAATTCTTAGCATTTTTTGATTGTTTTAATAGGTAATATTTAATTTAGTTTAACACGAATTGACCTTGCCCGATATTATGATTTTATCATTTATGGTATATTTTATGGTCTTGCAGTTTTAAATTATTGTACTTTTGATTTTGATTAATGAAATCATACTTTATGAGTTATTATGATGGTATAAATACTGTTTTTGTATTATATAGCATATACTAGTTTATAAATGTTTGGGTAATATTTTTAAGAATTTTTTTTTATATAAATTTTATATTATTGACATAATGTGTACATTATAAAAAATACTATTTATGTACCGAAACATAAGGCGTTGATCTTTATGCGTATCTACAAGAGTAAGTATACTACTTTATTGGAGTTACATAACTAACACCAAAAACTATAAAATAAAGGATTTCATGACTTGTATGTCATTAAATCTATTGTTATATAACCTTTTTCTTTAAATGACCCACTATGTGTTATAAAAAATTGTGCCTAGTTGCGAAAAATAATGTTTTCGGTTGCTGATGAAATTATATTATACAGGTATCCCACAAAAAAAGACAAATGAAATAACTTTTTTTTTTTATATATTAAGATAAATACAGGCTTTAACGATTTAGTTATTATCCTAAGTGTACATTCTATATAGGAAATTAAAAATTATTTATACACCGCGTGTAGGCTTAATCTATATTATCTTTTGTTTAAGTGAATATTTTTAACTTTTTTTTTTCAATCAATTTATACTCATTTGCACTATAAGCACCATATTTTTTATTGCACTTTACTATTTTATTATTTTTAATTTTTCAAAATTTGAGTAAAGTTTCACGTTTAAACACTCAAAAGTCAAAATTCAAAAAATAATCAAAAACGTTGTCAAATTGATCACAACAAGGTGGGACACATTTTCAGTGTTCAAAAGAATTTTTTAGAATCTTATACTAAAACATTTTCTTGTCATTAATTAATATGACTTAATTTTTTCATGAAATTTAATTAAATCAAACAGTTAACTAACTAGTTTTTGGTTTCCATCCGTGATGATTATGTTCACCGTGATGGTCAATTTTTTTCTTATACTTTCTAGAGAAATCTAACATCATAAACAACATAAAATAATATTTTTTTTTTATTTGACGCATTCAAGGGCACATGACAAAGATAGTTAAAGTTATACAAATAGGAATAAAAATGTAATAACATTTTTTAGCTTTACACTAAGATCCTTAATATGCGAAACATTTATAAGATTAGCACTATACGTAAACAGTTCAAAAGATCGTTTACGACAAAACGCGATGTGAAAATGTTTAGAGGTATATTATAAACATAGACCATTTGACATTTACAACACACCAGTTATAAACTCTGTTCAAATTCTCCTGCTAATTGCGAAAATAAAAACAACTCAACAAACACTTGTATAGAATTTACATCATCGGCCAAATAGAAACAGCAAGAATGATGGAATAAATCAGCAATATCATAGATACACATTTAGAATAGTTATGTAGATAAGTGCCCACGCTAGAAGACTCCACAGACAACACGTATTCCGGAAGAAATAAAATCATTAATACTAACTTTATGCGACCTATTTACAATAAGGGTTTTTCAGTTCGACTTTTTTTAATTTATCAATTAAAACGTTATAGATTTAATGAGGCAAACATTAGTTTATATCAATAAAAAATGGCATCTACACGCCCTCTGATCGCAACAGTAGAAACAATATCTAAATAAAATACAACTAGATTTAGCAATTGTCGATTTAATATTAAACAAAATTATTGTTATAATATTGATTATAAATTAAAATCGTACAATTTGTTCTTGTGGTACACTATTGCCAATCAACATAAAGAGTATTAAGATAAATATGAAAGGGTGTTAAATTATTCGAATAAATACATATTAATAAAAAAAAATGTACATAGAACCCAGTGCTTTTTTCTACTCCAAAACATTTTCCAGCTTACACCATTTTATTTTTTTAATTTAAGATATTTTCGTTAACTATACATCCTATTATACAACATTGAAATCCAATAAAAATATCCTGAGAAACAAAACACTTCGTATTATGAATTTATGAATTTCATAGAGTTTTGATTCTTTATGTAAAATTACGTTAATAACAAAAAAAAGTGTATTTAAATTTGGTTTTAAGACAGTAAACAATCTCAGTAAGTTCTACTCAATTACAAAATACCTAAATACTATAAACTACTCATTACTTTCTTGATTCTATTTTAACGTAACATCCGTTGATAAATTCCAGTGCTATGGTACACGATAGTTTAAGTTCCTTTGGCGTAGGGCATTTTTCTGATGGCGAAAAACGGTAGGACCTTACAAGAGTAGATATCGCAGTCTTCATTTGAAGCATTGCGTATTTCATTCCAATACAGTTTCTTGTGCCGCCACTAAAAGGAATGTACGCATAAGGATGACGACTGCGACACACGTCAGGTAAGAAGTTGTCAGGATTAAATTTTTCTGGATCCTTATAGCTTTGTGGATTTAAATGCAAACAATAAATGGGAATCGCAATAACTGTGTCTGTAACAAAATAATATTTGACAACTATTAATAAGGTTCTGTGAAGACATGTAATTTAAAAACATTTATTTTTTATTTTTAATAGGTTCTACCCGCCGGGATTAGATATTTTCCAATCATCATTTCGTTTTCTACTTGTCTGAGCACTAGAGGAACAGCTGGATAAAGTCGCATGGTTTCTTTGATAACGCGTTCTAAGTATTCCATTTTTTGTAAATCCTCGTATGTAGGCGGTCTGTTTAAATTACCATCCGAAAATATTGAATTTATTTCTTGATACACCTAGGGTCAAATATGATTAAATAATTTTAATTTTTAATAAATATGGAATTGTAACTTATTACAGAAATAATTACAATTTGTTGAACATCTTGATGATGAGCCAGCATAAATATAATTAATGAATTTGCTTTTGCAGTTGTTTCATGTCCCGCTTAAACAAAATTTTGAAAATAATGCTTCTTATTGTAAGAAAAAAATTAATTTTGGGGGTTGGATTTTGATTTTGAAGAGAATGAGATAAGTTGTTTCCTTATTTGTTATTATAAGAAGAACATATGATGTATTCAAAGGTTTTACAAGTATAATAACAGAAACATAACAATAAATATTGCATCAATGAAATACTAATATTTTTAACTAAAAAAAAAAGCTTGAACACATTGCTAAATTTTACCTTTTACCGCAATAGAATTTAAATATATTGTTTACCACTTATAATGGTTATAAGTTCGTCCCGCATTTCTTCATGTGATATTTGATGTTCGTTTGCTAACAGAATTTCAATTAAAGATTTAACCTTTTGATAACTACAATCTTCGTCACGACACCCATTAATCATAGTTTTTGCTTTTTCATTAGTTTCGACTTTTTTCTTCTGGATTACACCATTTACAAATTTATGCATTAAATGTTGACTATTTCGTTGTTCATGTTTTTTCGATGACAGCGAAAACAAACTCGATATTAAAAACCACGGATTCGAAATTCTGTATGCAAAGATCTAAAACAAAACAGTAAGCTGCATAACAGAATTTAATTACAACATTGTTAGAGCATAATAATATTTTCTCAGTTTCGCGTGATCTATTGAGGCAGCTATAAAAAATAAACTAAAAACAAATAATTTTTACTTCTGCTAGACGTTCATAGTTATTTCGGAAATCATGGTTTTCTTTGTTTTGTGAATTAAATTCTTCTCCCAACGCTGTTCTTCCAATAGTGTCCATCGATGCTAGTTCGAATGCATAGCTTATTTCACATTCAAATGAATTGCTTTTACTATTTTTACTCAATATGTTTTCGAGAATTTTGGATTCTTCGTAGAATAAAGTAATCAATGATTTTAAATTTGAATAATTTAGCCATTGATTTATAATTTTCCTAAATAACGTACGTTTTATTAATTATTCATCTCCTTTAAATAGGAACAGTTTGATTCATTAGTTTCTTATAAAATATTTATTATCATGATATTATATAATATATCATATATAGAAGGAGTGGCTGAGTGGGTAAGGCGACAGTGTGTTAACGCTCACTGTCGCCGGTTCGACATCTCATGATGGCAGCTTCGGCCCTGCATGGCCCGTTCAGCTACATGATGATAATTAGTATATATATTTATAAATTACAATATTTTACCTGTTTTTTTTATAGACATGAACATTGTTAGTTGTAATTAGCCCCTTAGCCGAGAAAACATCTTCAATTAACGAATAAGGTATATCCTTTTGAAAACAATTGAAACTATTCATTACTATTTCTATATCTTTTGCGTTGGATATACAAACAACCAGCTTGTTAAATAACCAAAACTTAAATAATGAATGCTCGTACCTTTAACATATAGAGCTCGTTTTATAATTTGTCTATAAATACATATATTATATATTTAAACAATTAACATAATAATCACAATCAAAGGTTTTTGCATTTAATCCAATTTTAATATATTATACCTTAAAGTTCTGTAGCATGTATGTGTTTCTAAATACATTTGTGTTAATAATTTGGGCCATAGTAAAAAGCTAACTTTTCCCGAATTGATCATCACATTTCGTTGAAAAAATCGTGATGATATTTATTAACGGGTTAGTTTTAACTATTTTATCTTTAAACTCCCATACTTAAGTAAATATATGTTATGGATAATAATTTTAAATTGTTAATTATCTCGGGTTTGTTTTTTGTTTGGTTCAAGGCTACATTATTCCACAAAATGTATGCAAGTAAACTAAGAGTATTTACTTTCTTGTATAATAATAAGCTGGTCTTACTACATTGTCTTTATAGTATTTCACAAATTGGATGAGACACGTATCAATTGTTTATTAACTTAAAAATGTTTTCAGTAATTAGACAACATTATACCACAAAACACCACATGTTTATTCACGATTACTTACTTCTTGCATAATAGTTTCACATTCTCTAAAAACTTTTCTTGTCCTCGTGTTACAATCGTTGGACTTCCAACAATAAAATTACCTTTTGGACCAGGTATTTGAGCAGCCAAAGTAATTTGCCTTCGGTTTTTTATCCTTTGAATAATTACTACCGATGTAACTAACACAAGTGTAAGTATAATGAATTGAAAATAACTCATATTATAAATCTGAAAATTAAGCAAAATATGAATTAGAAACATATAACTTACAGTGTTTTATGGCTCAAGTCAATCTAAATTGCTGAAGAATTCATATAGATATACAGTGTGTACTTTTTAATGATATTTTGGTTCCACGGTTAACTACATAAAGTACTTTACATGAAGTGTATTTAATTTTTGGTAGTAAAACTTACTCGTTGAAACACGAAAACCATGTTTTCGATACTGATAAAATTATATGGTTGTACAGTGTGTAAGTTTTAAACACAAATAGTAAGTCTCTGATAATCTGGTTACTTATATAAGTTTCCCTTGGAATTTAATTTATTGTATATATTATGTTAATTCATTTTTATTTCCACGGTTTCTCTTCCGTAATAATTCCACAATAATTACAGGTATAAAAAAATTTGTTGATTTTTAATTTAAATGTGAATATTTCATCCTTAATTTTATATAATATGCTTCAGTAAATTTTGAAAAACTTGAAAAAAATGTTTTAATTAAACTTGGAAACTAGCGTTTGGCAATGAGTTATTCAAAATAACCTAGTAGGAAATTTTGACTTATGTATATTATACTTTTTTTTAATTAATTAGCAAGCTAAAAAGACGTTACGCAATAATACACATTATATCAAATTATAATAAAACGTAAATAAGAAGCCCTTATATTAGAAAGACGCTAGGTTCTATTTAAACCTACAACAGGTTATAAAATATTGTCAGAAAGTATAAAATATTATTGTATTAAAAAGTATGTTGTTATTTTTTTACAAATGCGGGTCATGAGTATTATGTTGTTCTAACTTTCTACTGTATAAACACTATTATTTACTAATATTTTTTAATTAATTGATTTAGCAAAGATATTGGCTTGACAAAGTGTTTTATTAAGGATAAGACACTTGGTATCTCTTACAATATCCGCAATTTTATCAATTTTCGTTTTATGATGCATATTAGAGTCTCAATTTTTTACATCGTCCAAATTTTTTAGTCTGAATCTATGTTTCAAATTTCAAAAGCTGATTATAAGAGGAAGCAGATAGGTATATGAGAGTTAGAGAAACCGTTGGAATTGGTTCGTGAAAGTTACACTGATATTGGTCGAATTTGGCACGCGTACAGATGAGCGGTCAGTAATAACTAATAAAAAAAAACTAACATAATGTTTAGATAGATAATGTTATTTTTTAACCTTCATTATTTTATTAAAATATGCTTTTATAATCTGTACAAATGTATATTTACAGTTAATAAAACTTTATTTTAAAATATTTTTCCATTGTATTATAATACGTAATTGTTTTTATTCTTATGATGAGACATCATTAACCATCTAAATGCATACAATTTATTTTGTATAGGTATATAAAAGGTTATAGTATTTAAATTTACTGTTTTTTTGTACTCAGATAAAAATAATTCAACATTCCACCCTTCCACCAGACATAAATTTTAATTTTAAATAACTTTTAATCTAATAACCCAAACCTTGTTTTCAACCACTTTACTTCCAAACTGTCGCGATTTAAGAATCTTTTTGGCGTCTGAACCGCGGTTTAACACTACTTCCTAATATGGCCTAAGACAATTTGTTTGTTCGCCTATTTAGTTGATAATCGATCAACTAGAGAACAGCGAAAGTTACGCGGCTGACCTCACATGTTTAAATGCATTGCATTGAATAAAGGCTTAAAGGCCTAAGGTGACCTAAAAATATCGTAAAAGAATCTTAAATTAAAAAAAGAATAATACATATCCAATTATGTTTAATTTTTTTTTTAAATAACTTAAAGGTGCATTGCTGTAAAATTTGTTATTGTGTGTTTGTACTTTTTTCTAAATTAAATATAGTTATTCCATTAGAATTCTTAACTTTAAAAAACTACACAATTTTGTTTAAAACATAATACATTTTAAATTATAATCTGATTGTCTGATTTTAATATTTCTAAAAATGCTTCATAATATACATCACGAACATAAACTTTAAATAGCAATAACTTTTGAACAGTATGTTATAAAAAACTTTTTTAACATTTGTGTATTTAAAATATTAATCGTACAATGAGTATTGCTTAAAGGTAATAATAATCTTTTTATCCGTTTTAAGATTAAAGTTTAATACATTCATAATATTGACGATATCATATTTGAAGCAATAAAGCACTGTCAAAATATAAAATTTTTAAATAATATCAAATGCCTACTTTAGTTATAAGTTTTTCTTGGAGTTTAATTTAGCGTATCTTAATATATATATCTCTATGAATGTTGTATACATATATATAGTATTATTATAGAAAAACTCTTTATTCCATCTATGATGAGCAAAATATATATTCATATAAGTAAGTATATAAGTTATCCTAAATTCAATTTAATATTCTTGTAAAGGTTCACTACATAAAGTACTAAAATATTAAATGTATTTATTTTTGGTAGTAAAACTTAATTGTTGAAATGGAAAATTCATGTTTTTGGTTGCTGATGAAATTATATAGTTATACATTGTGTAAGTCTTAAACATAAATAGTAAATTTCTGATATTCTTTTTCCTTTTATACGTTTTTCTTGGAATTTAATTTAGTGTATATATTATTATGTCAATACATTTTTATTTCTATTGTTTTTCTTAGATTCAGTCAGTAATGAAATGTACACAGGTAATAATTTTATTACATATGTAATATTCTTCATTATATTTTTTTCTCATAATGAATTTGTACATTTAACTTTTAAATGGAGAATTTTAATGACACATACTACACTATACTAAAAGACTTTCATTGTTTCATACTAAAACCTATACATAACCTTCTTGCACCCCCGCTAAAATGTAACATAACTCAAAAAACATGATTTTTGAGATTATAGCATATTTTAAATAAATATCATATCATTATTGTGTAAAAACGTCATAAGTCTATTATTAGTTTTCACCGATAAATGGCGCACGTCACTTATGGTATAACATTATTTTACATTATGTTGTCCTTTTTTAAATGACTTTATTAAAAAATGGCATTTTCCCAGTTATGTCACTTTTTAAGCGTGGCTGCTATATATTAAAAAAATAACTATACTAAAAAAATGTATTACAAATTACAATACAAATTGCACACATCTGTTTTTATTAGCTATTTAAATATATTAACCAAAACTCTTCTTAATATCAAATCAAACAAATTTATACTGAACTAAAAATTAAGGATTATTAATATACTAATTTCATAAAAACAATATAAGATGTTATTATTATTATGATAATTTTGATATTTTTTCAAAGGGATTATTACTGACTTGTGTCAGTGTGTGATTTTTATACTTCTAGAATGAATACAGCTATGTAGAGCGACATAATTTTAAATGTACTAGCCAAATTATCCTTAAAATCAAATCAATTTTATTCTGAAAAAGAAGCACACAAATCTCCTGTTTCGGAATAATTATTGGATACTGACCATAGCATAAAACCATTTACAAAATAAAATAGTTCTAAAGAACTTAATATTTGAGAAGCAATAGTAACTCTCTGTTATAATATTTTCTTAAAAAACGATTTTGTTTAATTTTACTCACGATACCTTGTTATACTACACTTTGGTGTTTTTTAATTTAATATTAAGTTTGGCTCTTTAGCCTGTTAATTTATTTTTTAAAATATAGTACAATTAA